ACTGAATAGTGAAGAATGACAATTATTATTGAGATTTAACGATTTGAGCATAGACATTAACCGTAGAGTACTCTATGGAGTTAACTGACATCTTCTTATCAAATGTATTCCTTATCGTATTTTTAAATTAGAATTGTTGGTTTGGTAGTCTACTTGATAATAAATTAATATTAACTAGTAACTACTGTGCATAATTTTGCGATCTTGATGATTGAGACTTAGAATTTTAAACCGTAGGATTATTCATTCATATTTCCTTACTCAATTTATCAACTTTAATATTTTACTTATAATTGATAGCTTATAATAATGTCCAAGCAAGAACTTATTCAGTGGATTTGTGATAAACTTACTGCTTTACTACAGTTTGAAGTTCAAAATGACATGGCGGAGTATGCACAATATTTATTGATTTTAATTTTGCATTGAAACTTAATTTTGTCGGATAATACTGCTATTGTTTGTAGATACATATTTTCCATGCAGTCGGAACGAGATCTTGATGATTACTGTAATTCATTATTAGATATTAAATCTCAAGTTCATAAACAGTTCTTAATAGATTTAAAAAAAAAACACAGACTTTGTAAGTTAATTTTAAATATTTGTTTTTTATTATTTGTTGATTAACTCTTATTTAAATGCTCCATTTAGTCCACCAAAAACCAACTTCCAGTGTTCAGAATACACACGATTCTAAGCAAAACATAAAAAACCCTGTAAAAGAAGATCCACAAAAAACTAACACAACTAATAATCATAAGGTAAACACATTTATTGAAAATTATTTAGTATATTTTTATTGGATACTATGCATTTTGTAAAAAATTAAAAACATCTTACATGTATAAGAAAATTGAATAAATATGTTTAATAGTACGAGCCTTGAGGTGTAAATGTAGTGAAATATATAAAATTTTTTTTCCATTAAGTGACATAATTAACTAATCAGTCAATCATGAGATATTAACTTTGTAAGAGTTCATTGTTAAGTAGACCACTTCAAACTTCTTTCATGATTATTCTCCTATTTTTTTATCTTTAAAATTGTTCTCAGTCCTCACTAGCTGACAAATTCAATCCAAATTGAGTTAAATTCAAAGCGGAAACTATATTTAACCAATTAATCATTATGCTAGGCTTTTTTTTTTTTTAATGTTTGCATTGTACATGAAATTGAATGATACATTAAGTAAATTTTAATTTAATAAATTATGATTAATTAGTTAATAGAATACACCATTTTTGGTAGATAAAATTTTACAATAGGTAATATACTGTATAAGTATCAAATGATTTATTATTAAATCATTTTTGTAGATAAAATACTTATCATAATTGATCTTAATCAATTTTTGATTTGTTACATGCTCAAAAAACTATACTTGTGTCTAAAAGTTACTGAAATTGTGATAAAAATTCAAAGTAATTTATACATCTTAGAAAATTTCTCTTTTTCTGTGGTTTATCAGCATAATGTAATTGAAAATAATTACCATGTTAAATGTTAATAATTATTATAACTAAACCATTCTACAGCTAATCTATAATAAAACATTTCAAAATATAAATGCTAAATTAAGGAAATGCTTAAGACCCTTTGTAGTATCTACATTTTTCTTAGCAAATTACTATAAAATAAATTAGATTATCTTTTTTACCTTAATTAATTTGAAGGTTCCTTATTTTTATTCACAATTGACATATCCTTTCTATATATCATTATGCTTCACTCACTATATCATTAATTGTCCCCTAGTTAAGATGATGTTGATTGCCAATGTAGTAGAAAACCATCTGTTCCCTTATTTATTTTATATATTTTGTTTTTCTTGATAGTCTACTATTTAGGATACATTTTTTAATAGTGTTATTGCAATTGTTAAGTAATTGGTTTATTTTTTAGTACTTTTAATAATTAATAAATTAATATTTAAAATATGCTTTTTATATTTTAAAATATATTGGTTATATTTATAGAAAAAGGAATCCAAATCAAAAAATAAAAAATATGTCAACATTTATACAGATGAAGGTCATAATCGACAAGAGGTGTTTTTAAAAGGTAAAACATTATCTTTATAAACTTTAATATTTATTAGAATTTATATTTAGTACTGGTTAAGGTCGTCACAAGTGTAATTGTCAAGCATCTAAACATGGTTTAGTAAACAACTGTTTGAATTGTGGCCGAATTGTTTGCAAACAAGAAGGATCTGGTCCATGTGTTATATGTGGTAAATTGGTATGAACTTATTTAATTTGTCAAAATTTGTTTTGAAATACAAACATTTTTAAATGTTTTATAGGTATGTTCAAATGATGAGAAACTTTTATTGAATTGCAATAGTAATAAATCTAAAGAATTGTATAACCAATTAATTGAACAAACTGTTATATCAGACATTGACAATAAAGCTCTTGAGCATCGTAATAAGTTATTAGAGTTTGATCGTACCAGGTTAGGATCATCCAAATGAAATTATCTTACAATTAACTAAACATTAAAAATATTACTAACATTTTTCAAAAAAAAATAAAGGCTATAATTATAGATTTTAATAAAAGAAATATTTTTATTTATAATACAGTGCTAAGCGTACCACTGTAATAGATGACCAGATGGATTATTACTCAGTTAACAGTGGTTGGTTATCATCTAAGCAAAGGGAAGAGTTACAAAAAAAAGAAGAAAAACGCCAAGAAAAGAAACACGGTTCAAGAAAAACAAGAAAAATCATTATTGATTTTTCAGGTATATAATAATAAATATAATTATTTATGTATACATTTTAAGTAAAATATGGATAAATACAAAAAATTTTTGTGCACTAACAGGTAGACAAGTTTATGAAAATAATGAATCTGATGTTGAAGATGATATTGATGTAGTATCTGATAGTAAAGAGACACTTTCAACTGTGATAAATGAACATCTAAGTAATCCTTTAATTAAAATGGATATAAAGGTAAAAAATAATAATACTTATTTATTTATAAAATATTTTTTAATAAATGTATTTGTTGTATATATATATATGTGTGTATATTTATTACCTTTTAGTTCAATGATAATGCTATAAAAAAAATTAAAAGACATACTGTTGATCTTAACAAGCCGCTTATACAAAATAATCCAGGATTCAGTAGAGTACAAGATGCTGAGCTAATGTTAATGGCGGATCCAGGTTTTTGTTTGAGCATGCATCAGCCATATGCATCTCTTTTGTTGTTAAACATTAAAAGGTAGCTTAAATGTATTTTGATTGCAAAAAATTACTTCACTTATTTCTTATTTAATCGAATAAAATAATTCAATTTTATTTAGTATTTACTATTTTTGAGTTATTAAATATCTATATAATTTTATTAATTAACTATAATAGAACTTACTCATGTTAGGTATTAAATAATTAAAATTTATTTTAAAATTATTTTTATTTACATATGACATATACATATTTAAAATATTGAGTAAATTTAAATGTCATTTTATTTAAAATATTTACAAATAACTACTAATTAACAACATTTTGGTTTCCTTTGATTTTAGTCATGAAGGCCGTACATGGTTTACACCACATCGTGGAAGACTTTGGATTGCATCAACAGCTAAAAAACCCAGTCAAGAGGACATAGAACGAGTTGAGACATTTTATAAAAATTTAAAAGGAGGCAAGTGTGAACATACACATTTTAACAATGACAAACTTACCCTTGTATTCTGAGCAATTTTGTATTTATTTTATCCATATCTATCAGCACCTTTTAAAGAAAATGCTTTATCTTAAGTTTTGAGATTGGTTTCAAGTAGCAAAATTGGCTTAGTTACTAGTCAATCAAAAGTTTAAAATTCCTAATAATTTTTAAAATAATTAGGTACAACTAACTGCTATAAACGGGAATATATATGAAACACTAATTTTTGACAAAATCAATTTTTCTTGTTATAATTAAAAAATGAATAATTGTCTACTTGAAATTTTGACTTAATATATTTTGTACTAGAATTTTTTTTTTATAGATCATGTAGTTTTCAAAAATTGTTGGCTATTTATATGTTTAATATTTTATAAAAATGTAATTTTTTATTTTTTATTTAAGATTTTAACAATTTTATTTGGGAATCAAAGAATTTGATAATTTAATACAAGGCACCTAATAAATTATTATAATTACAATTGAAAAATGTTGCAAATACAAAGTCTCAATTGTATTTAGAAAAAAAGACTATACAAGAAATGCTGATTTTCAAGTCTTTTGAATTATAACAAATTAACTAATTTTGTTTGATAAAAATTAGTTTTTTAGTTTTAATATTTATTTTTTTTAAAATTCATTTTTATAACTCATAAACATGTGGTAATCTAAATTTGGTTTTGATAAAAAAAAATTGTATTAAGCCTTGTATTATATTATCATTTTGAAATACTGAGTAATTTTCAAATATTAGCGAGTTAAAATAATTTTTTTGCTCAATACTCATTATACATAAATTTACATAAATGACTAGATAATTTGATATTACTTAATCTTTCAAAATCTTTGTTATATTTAGATATTGTATTTCCAAAACGTTATCCAACTGGATGTTTATTAGGCTGTGTGAATTTAGTAGATTGTTTGTCTCAAGAGGAATATATTTCAAAATATCCTCAAGGAGAAAACGAAAGCCCATATATTTTTATATGTGAAGATCCAATCTTATTGGCTAATCATTTTCCAATTAAAGGACAACATAAAATTTGTAAGTGTTTAATATAGATTATAATATTCTACTGTCTTTAATATTGTTATTATTTTCAGTTAAATTAGATGAAAAAATTTGTAATGCTGCTCAAAAATGTTTAATAAAAGAAAAGAGTTGAATGTGATATTTGTAAGAATATTATTAAATAGTGTATTTTTCGTTATTTAAATAAAACAAATTATTAAATATGTTGAATTTTAGTAATATAAAATGTACACTTACATAATTATGTATAAATATTGTCTTTAAATGAATATAAAAAAGTTATTATATTTTATAATTATTAAATAGAAGATTCAGTCCAACGATGTATGCAGTGAGGATTGGTACAAACATAATATAATCTCATTTCCTCCTAAAAATGAAAAAAAAAAAAATCAATATTAAATTAAAATAAATTATTTATTAATAAAAAATATACCTCTGCACGTCTAGTTTGAGCTTGGAAAAATACAGATTCACGGTGTTTACATTTTGGACAAGGATGATCTTCTGACCTGGGTAAAGTTGGATCAGACGTTACATCGGAAACAATATGAGTGAGTTCACTAAATGTAAAAAAATCGAGATTAATGAATGAGATATACAGTCAATATTAACATAGACATTTTAAATTACTTGATTTCGTGCATAATTTTGTTCACATAAATACAATTGCTATCTGCCATCTGTCTGTGATCACAATTTCGACACTGGAACATTAAACACATGATTTAAACTTGTACACAAATGAAACATCAATAAATTAATCAACTCATAAAAACAATATAATAATCAAATTTATTTTTTATATGACCAAACCAATGTGGTAAATATAAAAAAAAAAATTTAAATAACCAAAAGTAATATTATATTCTACTCACAGCATATAACAGTACTTTATGTTCCTTGTCTTCTTTAGGATATAACATGTTGTTGCTGAAAAACAAAAAACAAAAACATTTGACTAAGCTATTTAAATAGTCAGTATTTTCTTATTTATATTTGCCGTTTACACCTCACAAACGTAACTTGCTGTTTCTACTTCGAAACAGTAGTTAAGTCAACATTGCTGACCGATTAAAATTGAATAATTTAAAAAAAGCGGATTAATTTGATATTACCATTCTTGACAGAATCGAATGCCGACAAATCCGGGTCCGTCACTCCGGGAATCGTAGCCCGACATCGTTCAATCGGCGAAAGTGCACAAAACCGTTAAAACAAGCTATGGCGCTTGACGAAGTCTGAATTAACAATCTATATTCTACGGATGCAGAGTACTCGTAAATGAACGGAATGACAGATTAACTAACAGACACACTAAACAGTTATAAAAACAGTTAATAAAAATTTACTATCAAAGAACACGAGCGCGACGATGTCCAATGTCGATAGTAAAATTTGTATAATATTGTTAATATCGTTTTATGATAATTGATAAGAAATAGTTTATGGTACCGCGACTGAACATACCAACTTAATACCAACCGGCTTCGTATCTATTGCGCATAGTCGCGGTTTTTGGGACTTGTGTTATGTTTTTTATTTCCATTTTTTAGTCATTTAGTATTGTATATAGACTGTACTGAACTACCGACTGACTGACAACTGTAGTAACATTTAGCCATGCTCTGCGGTTTCACGTGGTCCATTCAACTGTCGGCTATCAATCAATAATTAATTTTTATCCAGTCCACTACGTGAACAATAATCATGAAACTGTTGACGCACAATTTGCTGTCGTCCAAGAGTTTGAAAGGAGTTAAAGTAGGATATCCACTTCGTATTGTCGTGAGTGATTTCATTGAAGTTTTTGCTCCCTATTATCGAGATTCATTTAATACCGTTCTCTCCTTATTGTAAAATAATTGTGTGTACTATATCTTATGTTTTTGACAGGCGAAAGACGTCAAGATATCAGAATCTGAATTCAATAAGGAGTTTGTGAAGAAAATCATACCAAAACTTGATTGGAAAGTTTTTGTTAACGCCGCTGAGCAAGTATGATCATCTTATGTTCCTATAAATATTGTTACACAAGCAATTTATCAATGTCAATCTATCATGATATTAATGGGTTTCACGAGATATTTATTGTTTATTTTATTCCAGATTGGCCATGCCAATGACCTGTCTGATGAATTAATCGATGACTATGAAGATGATGAAGAATATCTTAAGAAAGTACACCATTTACTCATGGAAGTAAGTCTAGACTGACATAGTTAATACTAAAATACAGTTGTTTTTTTTCTTTTGTTTGATGCTATCTCTTGACCGCCTATTTGTTACTCGTCATTTGTGTCAAACATTTGTTAAGTTATTTCTATAAGTTAAAATGTATTTTCTTAAACATTTCTATAAAATATTTTTCAACACTTGTTGCTTTATTAATTAATATTTTAATTTGGAAACTTATTTAACTGTATATTAAATCACTGTTAATAAATACCTATGAATTAGATTTTATAGTAAATTGAAACAAAATTATATGTTTTTAATTCTAAAATATAATTTATTTTATATTTTAATACAAAATAACTAATATTCTAATAAATAATAATCTTATTTATTTTATATAGGTAGAAATAATAAATGGCGAACTTATATGTCCAGAAACAGAACGAGTATTTCCAATATCATCTGGTATACCTAACTTATTGTTAAATGAAAATGAAGTATCATAAATTCTTTATACATTTACTTTGTGCATGTTATAATCATACATATATATGATTTTTATGAAGTTTTAAAAAAAAAATGTATTTCACCTGATCTATAATTGTATATCTTTGGTTAGAATAAAATTACTTTGTAGCAAAGGTACAGTATATACTTATTTATAAATGGTATGTTGCAACAAATACAATTTTTAATAACAGTTTAATCCGTTTCTCTGAAAACTTTAATTTAAAATTTGTATAAGAAATCATGTTTTAAATCAAATAATTTTATACATTTAAATAAATCATTGTATGTATTGAATAGTTTAATTTATTTTATGTTATAAAATTATTGTATAATGAAAACAAGATCAAATATAAAAATAATAATAAAGAACTTTTTTGCTGTACTCAATCTTTGGTTTAAAAAAAAATACATATATATGTATTAACACTAAATTCATTTTAGAAAATTATTTTATCAATTTTAAAAATACTTTAAAAAAAATATTGTAGATACTAATTATTTTTACTAGGTTTATGTTCAGTCTTAATATTTTATAAGTAGAAATTCTTAATTTTTTGAAAAATTGTTCATGTTTTCTTTTTTTTTTTTGCCTTGCTGACTACTGATTAGGTCCTTTTTTTAGACATTTTATCTGCACAACATATTTATTTTTTAATATTTATAGGTATATGCATAATTGACTATGTATTCATACCTATTTTTGTCTCATTAAAATAATTTTATATATTTTAATAGTAATCACAATTATGCTTATACCTAACTGATACATATATTTTATACAATAACAATAATTATTGTTGTCATCATCTTAAAACACTTGTCTTCCAGAAAAATTATTTGTCATAATCTGTCTTAAAATGTTATATTTTTGCACCATAGAAGTATAAAATAACAAATTGCCACTTAATACAATTTTAAGCTGATAATGCCCTTTGCATACATTAGTATTTTGGAGATGTAATCCTCTCCACAATATGGTCTAGAACGTAGTTAAGTCAATCATAATTCATCGCAACAAATTTCTATAGCATATCCTGCACCACTTGTAAATGTGCCTATGGTACTATATATTGTTATAGTAGTTTTAATTATAGGTTTTTGATTCTGGTGATATTGAAATATCAACCCCGGTATTTTTAAATATACATTATTTATTTACAATTTGTTGTAAATATTGTATTCATAAATTAAACATTAGGTTAACCCATTACATTATAGTATAAATTAATACCTAAATATTACACTAGTATTAATCAACATCATATATCACTTTTAGGAACAAAACAATTGAATTGAATAACAGTTAATTGAACATCAGTGGTTGATAAACTTGAACACAAAAAAAAAAATAAACTAGTCTAAACTATTTCTTACGTGGGACTTGACGATGATGGAATTGCTATGGTATACGGACATATACCAAGCATTGTATGCGGTAGTCCTAACATTTCATTAGTTTCTTTTAATTTTCTTTGATCCCTAATTTTTAACATTTCTTCTTTAAGTTTATTTAATATAGCAAAATTGGGTTGATTCACAGCAGCCTTACTTTGAAGCTGGGTGATTTCTTGCTCTTCTTGTTTTTTTTCTTTAGCATTCTTAATGCTCCGGTTGCCGTACAGCCGTAACAACGAACCCCAATTATCAATGTGTGGATGTAATAAACCTAGTATTACTTGAGAAGCTTTTTGTTTGCCGTCTCTTTTATTTTTACAAGCAACAGAAGCTGTGTGTTTACCAACCATCATTGTGCATTGATTTAGCATCCTACGACGATTGTTTAATTTATATTCAATACCTATTTCACATTCACCAAAATTCCTTTGTAAACACACTAATAACATAGCGTATGGACTAGGTTCTGTGGTTTTCGCACAAAATTCAGTAATTCTAGGGTCAGTGACTTTAATTTGGTCAAATATAACTGGATCACGTTGGTTTTTGATGTCTGAATCTATTTTATTTTTCATTTCCGGGATGAGTATATCTAAGGTGGCTCTGGCAGCATTAAGTTTTGCTTGTTTCTTACTATTACCCACACCAACACCGTATTGGACGTCATTAAGCACAACAGTAGCAGAATAAGGCGTTTCTGTATTTTCAAGTTCTTTAAACTCATACCAAGGTTGGGTTTTCAATGCTTGTTGCAGATATTCATGTAATATGCTCACATAACTTTTACCATTGGGATTCATTATCCATTCACGACGACGATTACATCGTTTATCGTGATCCTCAGTTTGAACTGGAAATGATATCAGTTTAGTACTATCTGGAAGTGAAGGTCTTTCTTTGGTATTGATTAGTGTACCATTAGAAATTTCTGTTTTTATATCTTTTTTTTTAATAATTTTACAAGAAGTTTTTTCTTTTTTAACCTTAAACCTGAAAACAAAATTTAATTAAAATTGATTACATAAAAATAATTGAATATTTAATAAATCAAGTAATAAACATTTACTTACTTAAATAATGATTGACAATATTCCCGCAATTCTGCATGTGTTAAAGATTCTTTAATAATATTTTCTTGTGCAGTCTCAACTTTAGCATTTGGTATAATCATATCTCCAAGTTTACTTATCTGAAAATCAGGTTCATTTTTTATAATTTCTTTATTTTCAAGACCTTTTCGATATTGTAAGCAACTAATTGCTGATAATGGGGCTAAATGTGATTTAGGATCACCTGGTCCTAAAAAATAGGGTCTTGATAATGTTACAACTCTACTTTTCTTGTGTAGATAAATAGGCATGCCACTTTTATGAGTGGCTTCAATCCAATTTTCAGGCAATATATCAAAATGATTTTTACATACTTCTTCTAATACAATTTTTTCATATTCTTTGAAGTCATCTTGAGTAACAGTTTTCTTTTTATGTTCATTAAGGGTTTTATTTTTGTCTTTATATGCTTTATCTAGTAAATCATATACTTCGTCATTATCTATACCTATAGATGTAAACAATTCATTCTTATTATAATTATTGGCATTATGGCCAACATCTTTAACACATTCATCAGTTTTTTCATTATCACTAGTCTTAGAATTTGTTTCATTTATTACATACTTTTCTAATTCAAATTCTCCATCAGAAATAGGTACATACTCTTCACTTTCACTGTCTTCATATTTAATATTACTATAATCTTCATCATCAGAATCTCCAAAAGATACAATCTGATTTGAATTCAAATTTTTGTCCTTGAAGTTAAAATAATCGTCTATTTCAGTCTCATCATAATTTTGACTATCTTTATCAGTTGAAATATTTCTATCAAATGGTTGTTCATTTATATCCAATAGTTTAGTTTTTTTTCTAGGGAAATCTTCTAAATTATCATCAGAATCAGAGCTAACTTGACAGTCTGATGGTAACATATTCAAAATTTCAATCTGTAATAAAAATTAATAAAATCCATTAAATACTTTTTTTTTTTAATTTAATAATATATTGTATAATGTGTAAATAATCTAAAATTGAGCATTCTTACAAATTATAATCGTTTTTATTCATTATCTAATGATAAAATTATGAATTACTGTTTCTAAAATGTAATACATTGTTCTTTAAGTTCCTTTCATACGCTTTTGTAGAATATACTTTTAGTATGCCTAGGAAAATTTGCAATAACAATCAAGAATAAGTAACAGAAATTCTAAAGATTATTGTATAATATAAAAATTAAACGAAAAAAAAAATGTTTAAATGCATAAATGGCTTGGTCCATAACGTCGGGAGTTTTTGGGTGTTAAGACCCTTTCCCACCGTTTAGGCCTACGTTTACTAATTACTAAGAATAATATTTTATATTATTAAGTATATCATATTATGTCACATAATATGATAGTTCAATAGTTTTGATAAATATTACTCTATAGTAATTAGTAAATAAAGGTACCTAGTTGTTACATAATAATAAATAATGAAAAAAATTATCTTCATGAAAACAAAAAAATGTATTTACGTACGTAGAATAATTTTGGGCTGATTAACAGGATCCAATATATTGATATGCATTCGAAAATGAACTATAACCTGCCGAATTCTTGTAAATTGCATCTGCACTGTTGCAGTGTTGCACTGCAACGCGATGTGCACTAGTGAAGTAAAGGGTAGAGACTACTGATAAATGATAATATCATAATGGTAAATAATATTATTTTGATTATACTTTGTGACGTGCAGACAGCTGACAACCCAAGGTTTATTGATATAATTATTGTCATATTTCGTGATAATAGTAATGGTATATTACCAGTTATAGCCTTGATGGAGAGGTATTCTACATTGTGAATCGTGGCCACGTTTAAACCACGCAGTATTCGATATTTCAACAGTGACGTACGAGATTTCTTATCTAAAGTATTATCAAATACGAAAAATGTTAATAGCTGGTAGCGCTCCTTGCGGCTATCAAATAAAACTACTCATTTGGATAATAATATCTATTATCATCGATATCCCGCGAAAACGTTTTAATTTCTATCCGTTTAAATATGCATGTTTAGATATTCTGTCGTTAGGATGTTTATATTTCATATTATTTATTTTCAAGCTTCGATAATAATTGTTTACAAAGTAACTAATTTTGTTGTAGTAGGGTACCTTGTACACTGCATATTATATCAATATTGCTTAGAAAGTTAGAAATATTTTTGTTTTTTTTTCGTGTTTATCGCGCGTATATTATGCAACATGTACGGTAGGTATATAAATATATTATAAGAATACCGTACTATTATACCCTATTGTTGTCGGATTGCAATATGGAAAGGGCTCTAAGTTAAATGAAAACATCGATTAAATTAAAGGTCACTTCTTATGCGGATTTGAATTTTAATGATTTTATCCCGACAAACTCAGTGTTATAAATTTAAAAAGTTCATTAGCATTCGACTCAAATCAATTAAATCAACTTAATAGCAAATATTAAATTCCTTAGAAATAATGGGTTTCACATATCCTTTTCTATTTTTTCTGTGTTCTAATGGACATACTTCACTTAATAACAAATAAAGATCTACTTCGGAGCGCTTGATATTTTTAAACTTACTATTAAGTTCACACGTTATTTTATCTCCATGTCTTAATGGTTGGTGTACATCATGAAGAACATAAAAAAACATCGCTTTTCTTTGTATAATATAGAATATTGTTATCATTATTTTTAACAGGGTAAATTATAGTTCACTATTATTATTAACGACCAAAAGATCATATTTTTCAAGCAACCAATAGTGACGCGGTCCTTTTTTTGTTTTTTGATTCAGCACTATCAACATCTTTAATTAATAGATAATATCTCATCAATTAAAATTTAAAACACATTATTTTTAAATCACATTGTCTTCTCAATAACTCCGCATTGAAACGATCTTTTATATCGCGCATTTCATTCTCCACGTACGAAATTTTGTCAAAGACTGAAATGTGAAAAGACTAGTTAGAAATATTTATCACATTATCTCGCTCGACAGTCGATACTACCTATATTATGTTTCATTAAACTTATCGATATTACAGATGATTATAATTGATTTATATTAGGCGAAAGAATATTGTCAAATATAATACCTTTGAAATGAATTTAATATATTATCTATACATTGTTTGGCATTTAATGTAAATTGTAATGCTTAGATAATTTAAACAATTTGATAGACTGTCTGTTATGTTTGATACGTATAGAGTTCCTAGACATTTTATAAAATACCAGTATTATACACATTACCGCTAACATTTATTAGCTTATGCATTTATTTCGTTTAAGAAACCTTGAAAATTTCATTAAAAAATACATCGCACTAAAAAAAACCAGATTATAAAATCTTCGAGAGTAATGTACTATAATATAATTTATATGTGTTATTTATAATGTAAAGATGATTAATTGTATTTTCGTTGAATACGTTTGAATGAAGGAGAAGTAATGAGAAACTCTACGGAAATCGTCGGGATGGATCTTTCACATAGAATATTGATGTTTGTCAGATCGTACCTCGATGCGGACACACCCGTAACGTTTATGGGAAAATTTTACGACTCAAACCCATCGAATGATCATAGACAACCCGCCGTTAGGCTAGCATTTATTCCTAGTCAAATGTCAACCGTGGCATTCACTGTATAAAGTTTACCATCTCCTCTCGCGCACTAACAGTACCAATTGTTCAAGGGACCTTTAAATTGCCACCTCTGCTACATATGATGATAGTCAGTAAACTGTTGCAGAATTATCCGCTTGTAGTTACTGAGCAGAATATGACGACACTGAAAACATGTCATCGGATTCCAATTACAGTTGAACTAATTGAGTCGATGTTGCTGAAACCTTCTGGAGAGAAAAAAAAATCAGAAAACATCTTTCTACGAAATTATGTCGAATGACATTATTAATACGCTATCGACACACGTCTACAAGTTGCAACTACAATTTTACTACGAGAACGACTGACGTGTGTGCAAAACCAATTTTAAAAGATTACAAATGTCATAATAAATACGTTATTTTCAATATAAATAAAAATATATTATGTTAAATAAGTTGTAATATTGATATAAATCAATATAATCATGTTTATAATTAAATAATAATAATAATAATAATAATAAAAAAAAAATTACAAAAAATAACTTACTGAATTATTTTTATTATTGTTTATAAATTAGCACTAATATAATTATAATATGTATTTATATTAAATATGATTTTTATTTTATACCATTAAATTTAATCAGAACAATTATCTTGATAAAACTAATACACACAAATATTATATTATACTATAGTTGGTACATATTCGACGGATTTACGACAAATTGGACCCGATGAAAATAATATGTCCACGTATGTGGTAAATGAATAACCCCTTAATAATTTATTATTAAACAAATGAAGGATGTAGATCATGCGTACCTATATTTTAACAATTTACTAACAATTTATTAGTCTGAGTTATAAGTATGATTTATAATCGATCAAATTTCTTATTTTTATCCTACTTAAAAATGCGCTTCAACTGCTAATACACTGTATTAGCAACATTTTTATTTTTATTTTTGTTTAAAAAATAAAAAATTTCATTAATGTGAAAAAAAAAAAGTTGTGGACCAATTGTCTGCTTAATTAGTACGTTTTTTGTCGTGTGGACTAATCATCCGTTTAGCAATTATTTAATGCTCATACTTATTCAATTGGAAAAATCGGCATAAAAGATTTAGAAATAGAATAAAGTAACGTGATAAAATATAAAAAAACAACAATGAATATGTTTAAGATTATTTTGTAGAATATTTGAGTATAGGTAGGTACATAACATAAAAACGAATATCAAAAATTAAAAACTCAACATGAACTATGTAAGCATTAAGCATGCTTAAATTTGGAGTTACTCAAAATCTTACGTTCTTATTGGCTGTAAAAAAATTTTTCAAATCATAGATTTTACCGTGAATTTTGTTAGTTTACTTGTAAGTACTTACTTTTTTTTCTTATAAAATTAAATATATTTTTAAATAATTAATTTATTTAAGAAAAATAAAAAAATGTTTTTTATTTGGTTGTAGAACTGACTAATGAGTTTCTCAATAAAATGTACAACTTAAACAAATTTATCGTTTATTCTCTTGCTATTTTATTATAAAACCATACAGAGGCAGTGAAAAGTGGAGGTTAAATTTTAATGTTATTGATTCAAATATCATCAATAATATAAAAAATAATTAACAAGAGCTGATCTTATTGAACAACAATAAATCGACAATTTATTAGACAAAGAATATTTTGATGTATTATTACATTGACGTTATAAGAGTCACCATCTTCGTCAGTGATATCTCGTTGGAATAAACAGTAATTAAATAGTAATTATAAATTACCTTATCATGGTCATGTTAAATAATTCTCAAGAACAATGACAAGTGGACTTAGTTTACATGCATATTGTATTTGTACATCTATAGTTTTAAACCTGAGCTTTATCCGTCATATTAGTGATGCACTAAATTCTAAGTCTATAGTTTATTGATAAAGAATTTTAGATTCGGGTTAGATTAGTAAAAACTGCAACAGAAAATGAATTGTGATATTTAAATATAATTAACAGCGTTTCCACTCAACATTATAAATAGCATAGGTACATGCAGGCTACATGAACATAATTTGTTTAACCCATCAAGTGTAGTATGATAAATTAGGATGAACTAATGTTCGATATTTTAAAATTATCATATACGATATAAAGTAAAATTGTATAGTTAAATATTTTTAGGTACAACGTAAACACTGTTAACTTAAAATAAATGTATAAAAATACTGTTTAAATTGAACATAAATTGCCATAAAAAAAAAAAAAAAAAAATTATGATAATATAAAGATAATATCAAGTCATAATATTTAGCAGTAGTTTAAGAAATAAAAACAGTCTTTACAAGACAATCTTTAGCAAAAGATGACACAAAAGTGTCAAGAAATAATTTTAGCTTAATCGTTAGTACCTATATTCTACTTATATTATATATACATCCCACATAAAATAATAACTTATTACTATCTAATCCACTTCGTTGGTATATTGGGATAAATATAGCGTGGTGTTTTGGAGCCAATTACTAATTGTTTTAAAATTCCTTTCCATCCAATTCACATTTGCTTCTGCATTTTCAATTGATTGCAATACGCTCCTTCTAGCCGAGCCCAAGTGATCATATTCATCTTTGTAAAACTGCCATAGCTAAAATAGATTTTGCAATTAATAGTCATTTGAAAGGCTTAAGGTTGTTGTCAATCGTAATTCATCAATAATTATTTTTGTTATTACTTACTTGGATCAAATCGTTTTTAGTATTGAAATGGTATGTGGCCGATTTTATAATTTCGCTCATTGTAGAAAAACCAGCCGCAAAGCTAAATACATAATATGTATAATATATTATTTTCACTAAGGCCAAATATCAATATTAGTTGTTGCGATACTTACGTTGATTTAAGATTGCGCCAATTATCGCGCACATAATTCCACGCTACTTCTTGTCCGGCTACTTTATTGGTTAAAGCGTAAAATACTTTGCTGATATCTTGATTCCTTATGGAAGAATTGTTTTGCAAGGCATAACTGAGAAATCTGCAACAAGATATTTTTAATTGTCAGTAGTTGCCAAAAAATATTATATTTATTCAATAAACAGAATAACGTCTGAAATATCTTTATTTATTATTATTAAAATATAATTTATATTTGATAATAATATGTACTGAAAGTAATATTAAAAACGAACAGCAAGTAATTTATAAGTGCACTTTGCATTATTTCCCATAAACGTAATATATAACACGTTAAAGAATTTGCTATAAACAGAAGGGGAATGCAAATTTACCATGTACAGGTACGCAATAATGTTTCTTTAAAACTTATTTTTTGACTATATTATACATTTTATATGGGTTTAAAGTATACTATACTATATTGATATTGACGTGAACGCGTACGCATGTATATGGCAGTTGTACATAAATTACCTGGCTAAAATCCATGTTTCCCTGCTACAACCCAGAGCGTCCAGCAATAAATCTTTTTCAGAAGCTACTGTAGTCATTTTATACATTTTCCAAGCAAAATCCCATTCTTCTTCACTTCCATAACTAATGGCCGTACAATATATTATTGATTTTAGATTTGGAGAAATCCTAAAATATAAAACATTTAATATGAATACAGTGCATCGCGTATTCTAACATAGTTTTTGCAAATTGCAACTAAAACATAATGTTTAAGTCGAGAACAATAAATTCTTTACGGATTGTTTTTTTCTGGTTGAGGATTCGATTTCCAATTTTGAAACTGAGCCACAGCATTTCGTACACAATCAGTATGTCCTAATTCACAAGCACATGATAACAAGTTAGATCGTTTGTAAATGACTAGCTGATCATCCCTCGGATTATCTGCAAATCCGGTTATCTTATACATTGGAGATATTAAGTGTAACACGTATGCCTGTAAAAAAAAAAAAAATAATAACGTACATATTTTAAATGCATGTTAGTATTATAATTCATAACAATATAAAAATGATTAACATAACAACAAAAACAATTAAAATCACATCGTAATGTCGTGATTTTAAATAATGATTGATTATGCGTTTATAGGTAGTATGTTATATATATAATTCAACACAATAGATATGTAATAATGTATTGTTTAAGTATAATTGTTCCCATTTTCGCAGTAATTTTAATAAGTAATTAGTTAAAGTTACAGTAACTTTTTTAATTTACTTTTAATTTGTCGTAAATGGATGTTTTAATAAGCATTTGATGTAAGTAGGTGAAAGATCTATATGCAGATTTCCACGGAACATACTCAGTCTCGTGGTAAAGATATTTAGTTAAGTCGAGAGACGTTTGGTAACTTAAATATCCAGCTCTCGATAAAGACATCGCGTCATCTATAAGTTGTGCTCGGTTAATTGTTCCTAGAATTAATAAAAGTTGTAATTGATACTTGCATAAAAAAAATTAACATTTTATATTTACCAATATTAAAATACAACTCTGGATCAGTTAAATATGCGATTAACATGTTCCAATTTTTTGAATCATAGTTTACTCTATAAAATCCGGTTTCATTAATGTTAAATAATACCCATTCTTTGGATGATATTCCTGTTTCAGTAATCATTGTAAATTCTTCAGGCTTAAGCCAATTACTTGGTTTTGTAACTGAGAAATCCAATTTTGTTTCTGTTGTGTACGTAAGTGGTATCCACCATAGATTATTTGGTTGATCAGTTTTATAAACGTTTTTAGTATCATGAAGTAGAAAACGACTCTAAAACATAAATCAGGTATGAAATAATATATATTATAATTAGTAAGTTAATAAAAAAAAAAAAAAATGTTTGTAATAGTCCAAATAAGGTTTTTATGGAAAGAAAAATTGAAAAAGTTGTCCGGAAAATTGAAAAATTCGGGAAAAACTGAAAGGGGTTTTTCCTATGGAATTTTTATATGAACTCGCCACTATATACGTGTGTAATGTTTACTGGATTAGTTATAAAAACATAAAAATTTTTTATCGGAAAAACAACGATTGCTAGTTATATAATAAATATAATATTTTATAGTATATTATTTTTATTACTTATGTGTAATATAATACTGCGTACCTATCTAAAAATTTTATTGTGTTAATAGATTCAATATAGATGTAAATAACTTATAATTAATCTAAACATTTAGAAAATTTTACTGTGTAAAAAAAATTAAAACACTTTTACGTAATGGTGAAAAGTTTCAACGAGTTCTCACAAAAAATATTTTTTGGATTACAAGTTACCACAAAATAACTAAAGTCGTTATTTTGCATTTAAATATCTAATTTAGTCGAAATTTAAACTTCAAACACTTATGGCAACTAATTTACTACAAGAACCTACCCTTAGTTTCGAAGATCAAAGTACTTATTTTATCATGAAAATGAGCTTACATATACACACAAAAACACATTGTAAAACCGATAAATTTATCGTTCCGATCAGAATCTAAAAAATATTCATAATACCATTTTATGTAAATACCTCACAACACAGCAAAATGCTAATACAATTTGTAATCTATTTTAATGGTGGAATTGTAGGAATAGCTTAGATTGTTAATAAACTTTAGTTTTGTGAGGATTGAGGCCTAATAATATTATTGGGATTCAGAAAGAATCGAAAAGAGAAGGATCGTAATCATTTATCACCGAGACAACAAGTAATTAGAAATGCAAGTCCTATATCTATGAGCTATGATTAAATTATAGATATTATTGAATTTTTATATTTTGTAAAAGTATAAATTTGCCTTAGACATAAACAATTTTTTAACATTTAATAATTTGGTTTGTAGAATTTGTTTTAATTAAAGAAAGTAGAAATGACTATTTGCGGATATATCTTTTTTAAATACTAAGAAAGTTAAATTAATATTTTTTATTACCTATGGTATAAAATTACTTATTTTAACTTTATTGTATACTAAAATATGTATTTGTATTTTGTACTATTAAGTGAATAGATAAATTATAAATAAAATAGGCACCTGAGAAACGATTAATGTATCCACTTCATAATTTCGTGTAACATTTACTACTGGAAATCCTGGCTGTAGTATCCATGTATCCATAACATCTTTTACAGTCAACGTATTATCCATTACACGATCAGCTTGTGCCTGTTCGGTTAAAGCATCCCACAAATCATTATGATATGCATTCTTATATGCTCTACCAAATATAAAAATAAATTAATACCATTTATATTAAAACGAAATTTAATAGTGGAAAAAATGTCAATGATTTAACTTATTAATGTTCGAAAAGTTAAAATAATCAATAGTTAACAAAAAAAATACACTAATATCTTCTTCGTTCTGATTACATTTAAATACATGTTATTTATTTTCTTAGTACGATTTTTATTCCATAAGTCGTTTATGGAATTAATTTTTAAATAATAACTAAGAAGTTATAAAATAATAGGATTATTTAGACAATCCAGTGGCCAGCTTATTGTTAAAAATTGTTTTATAAGTATTGATCATTATAATTGTGACACAGATCAAAAGATAATAAAACGATTATACGTATGTGTTGATATGAACATTAATTTAATAACATATTTTAAAACATAAATATATTATTTGTTTTTTAAATATTCTCATTTTTTATAATTTGATGTTATGCATTGAAAACTACGCTATAATCCTGGGTTATTGATATTTTAAAGATTAGTATTGATTATGTTTTTACTAAAATATTAATATATCTAATATGAAATTGTTTATTATGATAGTTGATACTATAAGTGATTTTAATTTATAACTTTTTGTATTAGAATTGAAATTATTGATAATGCAAGTAATATATTCGTAGAGTTTAATAAACCAAATAATACTAAAAATCATCAATGTAGGTTTTAATTATTTAAATATTGATTTTTTCTAACGATTAATATCATTTATTTATCGATAAAAATGTTGACATATTATTAGTTAATAAACTTATACAGTAAAAACCTTACAGCTTCTATTGATTATAAATTAAAATTAAGTACATTAAATAAATTGCAAAAATGTATTGAATATATTGATAAAAATGCACGTTCTTAATATTTGAATTTATTAATTATTTTATCTAAACATAATATGAAAGCTACTTGGAGAATATTAAATAATACTTTTTATTGCACTAAAAAATTACAGTCACATATTAATTGTATACATTGCCATTTTTTTAAATATTGTTTTAACTATAGGGTAATGAAAATACCATATTAAATTAATTAAATAATTTAATTAATGTTAATGTTGGTAATAACAATATTTATAATGATATTAATAATACATTTTTTGGAATGAGTTATATCAATTTTGTTTATACGTAAATGGCTCTATTTTCTTAATTCAATTAATATATGGTATTATTTTTAATACATCAATTAGTTTTGATGAATTCCTTTCTAGTTAAAAATATTATTATGCTTTTTTGTCTTATTTTTTAAAATCAGTTAACAATAAAATATAATAAAACTATTTAGAGACTATATTTTAATCCAATCACACTAACTTAAATAGCTTAAAAGATATTTGAAAAATGTATTGATAAAAAATTAATATAATTTTTAAATAATCATAACTTTTTTCAAGTAATTAGAATAGTTTTCGTTAAAATGAAACCCCAATAGATTTATTCGTTTAATCATAAAAATGTCATAAGTCAAAGTTTATTATTTAAAGGCATTCGTATTTTTATTACACAATTATATGTAATATAAATTACTTATTAGTATTTATTTGTTAAAACTATTGAGCATTAGAAATATGCAACTATTATTCTATTTATATTTTATATTAACTTACTTTGCGTTCAAATATTTGGTTAAGCCTTTTCGGAACACTTGCCGTGTAAGAAAGTGGTCCATCATTCGGATTACAGATGCTCCTAAATAATTACAGAAATTACATTTAATACTGGTTATAGAAATGAAATTGTTTAGTCACCTTTATCATAGGAAATGCGATCAAACAATTCATTAATTTCCTCCGGCCTCGACACACGCGCTGAAATCGGATGTGTAGATTTCAATGAATCCATTAAAAATACGCTCTGTATACCACTGGAAATAAATTGTTCCTCCATTTTCCACTTGGGCTCTACCTGTAAAAAAAAAAAATAGACCGAACTAAATAAATTTAAATTATTGACGATATGATACTTACATGGTTCACTCCTACGTATTCAATGTAAGTTGCAAAACCTTCGTTTAACCATAAATCTGACCACCAATCTGGTGTCACTAAATTTCCAAACCATTGATGTGCTAATTCATGAGCTATTACCGTCGCTACTCGTTCTTTTTGAGAATTAGGCGAAACACCTTCATTGTATAACATGGCTATTTCCCTAGGAAATTATTTTATTATTTTTTTTTTATATTTTTATTTGTTCATGTAATTGTGATTTGTGAATACTGATTATCTAAACTAGATCATTGAAATCACTTACCGAAACGTTACTAATCCCCAATTCTCCATTGCTCCAGCTGCAAAATCTGGAAGTGCTACTAGATCGGTTTTTTTCAATGGATAAGGAATGGAAAAGAATTCTTCATAAAACTTTAATATGCTTGGGCCGATGTCTCGAGCATAATGAGTATGTGACAACACATCACTTCTAGCCCATACTCTAAAGGTTTCCGAAGATAAATATTCAAAATCAGAAATAATGAACGCCACTAAATAAGTAGACATGGGTACTGTTTGTTCAAATGAGTCCCATTCGTAATACTCTAAAGGTTTTGATCTATAAAAATATTAAATTATGCTAATTTAAGAATGTTTTAAAATTATTTTTAACCAATAACAATTTTTTTATTTACAGTTTTGGTAAATTAATGACATATTTAAGCCCTGTGTTGGATATAGAACTCATATGTCCAGGTCTTGCGATTGACACGGTAAATTTAGCTTTTAAAGCAGGTTCATCAAAACATGGGAATGCTTTTCTTGCATCAGTTGGCTGAAATTGTGTTGCAGCTATCCACCTTAAATATAAATTGCAAATTCAATTATTAGTGATACTAAAGTATAATATACTTTAAATATCTAACCTAGTTGTATTTCCTACGTTGTAAGAACTTTTATAAAATCCTTCCATGTTGTCTTGAAGTTTTCCGGTGTATTTTAGGTGAATGTTATACTTATAATCAGCTGGCTGTGTATCTTTAAATTTGATGATGAAAAATTGTTTAGAAAGATCTTGTTGTGTTTCTTGAATAGGAACATAAACACTATCAGCCATCACGTTTTCATTTAGTACCATTTTTGGATATCTATAGGTATAGATTATAAAACTAATATTGAGTATACATGACATTAATGATTAAAAAATAATAATTATAATTTATAAGAAGAATAATTATGTAATAGTATTTATTAGAATATCACAAAAATCATTTAAATTTGGTGTAATAATTTCCTTAGACACCCCCTTCCATTAATGGGATCAAATACTCATGTATCACTATACCCTGCACCCAACATGCGTATTCATTTAACCACCACTGTGTCTGCCTTCTATTTGGTCAGCTACGTCTCCAACGACTGCTTCTTACAATATTACAACTTTTTTATTGTTTTTTAAATGCTGTTATTGTTTACCTGGTAACGAGACATTCCGTTATGTTCAAGTCGACGGCGTGCAGCGTTACACTGTCCACAGGGGCCGTTACATTGACAACAATGTCTACCTGGCCGTCGAATGTCGAGTTTCCAGCCCACAGAAACGGTATTATTCGCAAGTCATATGATTCCGGCACCACTTCTGCCGGTAATCGAACATCAGTATCACCATAGTCATTCTCTTGCCGCTCGTAGTCGAAGCCACGTATTTCGTCCAATATCGTCTCGGTAGATCCAAAGCGTGAGCCGGACATCTGCCGGCATGTCCGTGGATGGAAAAAGAAGAAAAGGCACAGTGCGCATAGTAGTACAATGAACGCAAACGATGACGTCAACAATGTCCAGGACACCCTGAGGGATTTCCTCCGAGTCGCGTATGTGGCGTCGCCGTCCATCGGTTCGTCAGCGGCTTCATGGACACTGTGTAAAAAAGAATAGAATTTAATACATACAACATTATTACAACAAAATATATTATGTTATGTAATTATTTTAATTATTTATCTGTGGCCATATATAGTATGTTTTCATTGTTAAAAGTGATTTTAAATGTATTTTAATATATTTTGACAATATGAAGTGAATACCCGTAACAAAATTTTTTCGACAACAAATCTTATGTTCTAAATTTAATTACAACTTATAAAGAAAAAAAAAGTTGTGTGACCATTGCCAGAGATTGAAATGTGTTTGGGGGGGGGGTTAGCCCTAAAATTAAAATTATTATTATTTTATATAGTGCATCCGAATTGCATGCCAAAAAAATAAACATAAATTGGAATGTACAAATTGTATGTTATTTCTTAGAGGAGTTTGTCCGAATTGAATGTCCTGTATAGTTTTAGTTTTTACTAAATAAAACAATTTAACTTACTTTTTCACTGAAGGAACGAACTTTTATTACATTACATTAAAATATATAAATATTGGAGAAGACGACATTGTGAATATTAATTATGATTTATGAAATAAGATTATTGTATTTTAGGGTAATTACTAATCAAGTGAATGTACATTACATTATTTACATTTTTACACGGTATTTCAAATAAATAATAATAGGTATTATAAAATTTGATGAAGGTTTTAACGATTCGGGCATAGAATATTACAATTTTAATAAACAAAAACAACAACAATAATAATAATAATAATAACAATACTATCTATACTTTCATATTCAACGTCATGTATTAGAAATGTAGAAAAGTAGTGTTTAATTTATCTTGTTGTCGAAAACGCTATAAACGAAAACTTTTCTCTATATATAGTATATATAGTATATACTATATATATAATTGTATTAAGTTGTGCACATAAGTGTATGATAAATAAACTTATGGATACAGATATGCAATTCAGATAGACCCCTTTAAGAGATGCTATGCAATTTGGACTTTAATTTTGGCATGCAATTTGAATGTGGCCATTTTATTTTATGTAAAAAGAATTTCACTCTTTAAGTTTTGATCAAATTTCCACCTATGTACTTAGGTTTCTTTTAAAAATTAATCACATCCATCAAAATTCGAGATCATTTATAGGTATATAATACAGTAAAAGCCGCTTATTAGAAACACTTTGGGACCAAGGTGAATTGTGTCAATTAACCGATTGTTTCTAATAAGCGATTGAAAAAAAAAAATGAATAATAGGTACGCGAAAAAAATATGTATGTATGTATGTACCTATATTGTATAATTTAAAAAAGTATGCACAATTGTGTATATTTTACGATATTATGTAAAATATTTATCATTCGTAATTTGTTTTTTTACATCGAGTAACTCCATGACCATATTTTCATACGAGTAATATTGCCCCTTTAGCTTTGTCACTTATTTTGAGTGCGTATGTGTGTTCAGGTAGAGCTCCAAAATAAAGCCCAGTCTCGTCCGCATTGAAAATATCAGAGCGTGTGTATTGGGCTAGCAAATCGGTCAAATGAGTTTCAAACCACGAATGGTCGCATGAAAATTGGCTAAAATCTTAGCGTTTAGACGTTTTTAGATTTTTAGAAAAAGGAAACACTAATAATCTTTACATACGCACGCTGAAGCTAAACTACAAACGGTACGACCAGTACGTACAGAAAGAGCATTCTCGCGATAAATTACAGTAAAAATAAACGTAACGACAGCAAAGATAAAATTGAAGTACATTGGTTATCGCTAGATAATCGGTGTATATGTCAACTGACCTTCTCCCAATTGTTTCAAATAACCGATGTGATGTTTCAATAATCCGATTTATTTTCAATGTTCTAATATACGGCCGATCCGTCCCGAGACATTTTGTTTCAATAACACGATTGTATCAATTATCCGTGTTTCTAATAAGCGGCTTCTACTGTATATACTAATATATACGTACTTATATGCATAAAAGATAATTTTTTTGATAAAAGATATTAAGTACCTATATAAAAAAATATTTTTTTTTTTTTACATAATTTAACTTATATTGAAATAATAGATTGCAGAATAATGCATATATTTAACTATTATTTACCATTATAATATTTTAAGATTTTACTTGTTTAATGAAAACCTAAGCTGAACATCAAAATCCACGACATTTCTTTGTTAGAGACAATAATGTTGTACGATGCAAATGTGATAACTTTTTATGAAAATTACAAAACACCTATAAATTATGACGGGCAGTAATAATAGATACAATAATTACAATAATAACATATTATGTGAAGTGAGAAAAATGATACAAATAAAAAATCAACTTAAAAGGTAATAGAAATAATAAAATTAATATCCTACAGGTAACAACTTATATATGAAAAAAAAGTTAAAAATTAAATGGGAAATTCATTGTAATATTGGTTTACGATTAAGAGACATAACAATGTGATGCACTATACACGTTCCGTTCCGTTTCAACGTCCCATAAGTAATATCTCTCAATATGGTGTTCGACATCTCTATTCTCTAAATATCACACATCTCAGTGTACATCTATAGAAAATCTTAGTTAGATATATACTATTGCTAAAAATATAATCTTAACTAAGAAAAACCTAAAATACAATATACTAATAAAAAGAACCTGAATTAAAAAGTAAAAAAGAAATTATGAATAGAGTAAGAGCTGAACATACCCGAATAATATACGGTCTTTTAATAGCAGAAGAAGATTCATCAATATGTGAAACCAGTAGAGTAGCCTTAACAGTCAAACGCATACTGACAGAATGTTATAATTAGGTTTATATATGAAGTCTTAACTAATGTAATAAATACCTAACACCTTTGATGTGGCACTGAGATAAAATAAAATCATTTTAATATTCTTAAAAAAAAAATTCAATTTTATAGCATAATTTAAAAAATAAAATAAAAATTGTAAAATACTAAGTCTATGACGCCAAAGTTTTATTATATTCAATAAAAAAAAATATGTTTTATACTGAGTGAAATCTTTTATTAAACAGCACTCATTATTAAAAATTTTATGTGTTTTTAAAAAATATAAAATTTTGTCTGGAAGTCGTGTACATTTTTTTTTTAAATTAAAATATTAATAGTTTTTGAAATAATGAGTGTTATTTAATAAAAAAAATCGCTCTTTATAATATATTACATTGTATTTACTTAAAAATATTTGTTATTTGTTTTGTTTGTCTAAGTACATGTAAGAAGAATCGTTTATGGCGTATCCGTATTGCATGCCAAAATAATAAACAAATTAGAACTTTAATAGTTCTATGTCATATCTAAGGGAGCTCTATCCAAATTCCATACCATCTTTGAGAAAGTTTTTTCCAAATTGCATGCTGTCTTTCAAAAAGGGATTTGTTCGAATGCATGCTATATGTAATTAATGTGACTATACAGTGTCGAAAAAAAAATTTAACAAGTAAACATTCGACTGAAGAACACATTTTGGGATGTATTTAAAAATACCTAAAATGACTCGACGAGTGATAGTTAATAATTATATTTTTCATAAAAATAATATTGTAAAACAAATATTAACTTATAGATATGTAAAAAATAACTTAAAAGGACAATAATTATATAGAAAATTATAAGGTATAGATTATTGTTATATTTTATTTTTGTCATTCTACTTTTTTATACAATATATCACAATTATCACTATCATCTATATTATTATAAATGATTCTTGAAATTATGAAAATAATAACCTACCTGGCTATTTATATATCCTGTAAGAGAGAAATTTTGAAACAGTTTTAATACAGATACATTATGAAAAACAAGTAATATACGTTACTTATAATTAGGTACAAATAACTATTAAGTAATAGCCAAATGCTTTTCGGTAAAAAAAATATTGTGTACACCGTATATTATACGAATAATACATTTTGAATATTAAACATTTTATGATATACGTCATGTACGATAAATATATTTAACTAGGTATTTAGAATAATATTAAATTATACATGTGACGTGTACCTATACATAATGACTCCGACGACAGATATTTGTGCGTTAGCCCGGCCATTAATATTATGTCTTCATTTTAATTAAAATCGCCATTCTATTTTCGACCCGTGAAAAACAATAATAGACTAGTATTTTTATATGTTCCAACGTCGTAAAAAGGCGGCTGGTCTAAATTTATCGGCTAGTTTACTTCAACTTTAAGACCGTCAAATGAACACATTATCTCTAACAAGTGCGCGACGAGTATATTAACTCAATATATTGCGATTTGTTGAACAAATAGGGGTTGGGGTGCAAGGGAAATGACCGGGTACGATAATTTTACGCTTCAGGTATCTACGACGTTTAATAGAATGTTTGTATAGGATGATATGATATCACAGGTTCATAGCCATAAAATAATCGATAATGATGACAACTAGAGCAACAAACCAGCCAACAAATTTACGTGAAATCGTATTCTGTGTAACACTTTGCGTTATCCGTTATAATTTGTATTTTATCGTAGTTGCACGTTTTATGTGCATCTGTATAATATTATGTATCAGATCGAATAAACTTGAAAGCGATAATTGATTTAGACTGAAGAAAGTTAGAACCAATTGCACGAGTACTAGTTATAGAAACACACAACACAATATAATATTAATATTATCATATTTACCGCATTTTGAAACGCATAACGTTACACTAAATTGTACACTAAAAACTGTGTACAAAAAATTGTATTGACGCGAAAACCGTTTATAGATGTTGCGTACCGTTACCAGACTGCGCGTCTTGTATTATAAGACACACACGATGACATTATAAATATTTTATTAAAATGACATTTTATATTCGCATAGATTAAGACGTTAAACTATTGTTGTGTCTGATATCCGCACACCTTGACCCACATACTACCAGTATCTATCGGCGTCAAACTTTTTTTTTTTTTAGATACACTTTTGTATTTTTGTACTATTATTATTATTATTATTATTA